TTTTATTTCAAAGTGAAAAAAAGCAGAAGTGCAGGCAATTGGATCCACTTTACCAAATTTCTTCTGGGATTTCCTGCAACAGGAAGATAAACGAACTCCATTTCAGGCATGAGTTTTTTATTTTCTTAGTAATTGTCTATCCAGAGTAAACCCAAAGGAGGTATAAAAAGACTATAACAGAATTTACTGATAGTAATTTGGAGTCACTGAAATCGTCAACGATTCTGAAATTCTTTTATATCTTACTCCTACTCTATAAAGCCTGTCTTTCCTTTTCCATTTTCAAGGGTTGCTTCTCTGTCCTCATTCTATTCTCTACTTACCAGTCTCACCTCCAATAACTCCTTCTCCTTATTACTGTCAAACCTCTATTTTAAAGTTCTCTGACACCAGAAATGAAATCTTCACCACTGGGAGGAATGAGAAAACATTCTTCTCAATGCTCCCTTTCCACTGGTCCTCACTCCAGATGTGGTCTCATCACACACGCCTGTGCACTCTGCCTCCTTCACTTAGAAGACTTCACCCTCCCTTCTCCTGCCCGCTGATACAATGGATTACAAAACCAGACCTCCAAATCCTACCGTTTTCAAAATCCACCTCCCAGTCTTTTAAGCCGTCTAGACAATTGTAACTCAGAGTGCTCTCTTTCTTCTCTAGCACCCCTGTCGTCTGCATACTTTTCAATTGCACCTTCTCAATACAACATACATAATTACTTGACTACTAACACCAAACTGGGGTTCATTTACTAGCAGTGTCACCTTAAGTCATTTCTCTAAGTCTCAGTGTTCGCAGCTATAAAAACAGGGATTGTAAGAGTTCAGTACCCTTGCTCACAGGGTTGTTAGAGAATTAGGTGAGGCGATTCATGCAAAGTGCCTCGTACAGAATGAACATGCAATAAATATTAGTCTTTTTTATGTTTTCAGCGGTCATCCTCTAGGGTTTTTTTTATACCTTAAGAGCCTAGACAGGTTCTAGGCTCTTGAGTGCAGAGACTACATCTTACAGATTTTTAATAAATACACTGAGTGGCCAGATTATTATGACCACCTGACGTTTGTAGGCAAATTAGCTATAATTTCTCACTGAAGTTGCTAGAGGGCCAGACTATTATAAATAGAGAAGCAGGTTGTTTACCACAACAGAAGTGATTTTTTTCTGAAGATATGGGTAAACAACGCGATTTAACAGCCTTTGAGCATGGGATGTGTATATATCTATGCATGTATATGTATACGTATATGTACATGTATATGTATATATATACACACACACTGAGTGGCCAGATTATTATGACCACCTGACGTTTGCAGGCAAATTAGCTGTACACTGCATCGTATGGGATATGGAAGCCGAAGGCCTGTTCGAACACCTTTCCTGTCTGCAGTTACCAAGATAAAATGTCTCAAATTTGCACAGGAACACAAGGGTTCGACAGTCAAGCATTGGAAAAAAGTTATGCGGTCCAATGAATCACGTTTCCAGTTGCATCATGCAGATGGCAGAATGAAAATTTGGCGGAAGCAGCATGAAAGCCTGC